GTATACCTGTTTTATTGGATAGAGGGTTTTTTCCTTCAATCTTTTTCAATCTTTTATTTTGTACAAAAATCTATAGGTTATTGGTTTCAAAAAAAAAAAAAAATTAAATTTAAAAATATAGTTTTTTATTACCAAAAAAAAACTAATTTTTAGAAAAAACAATTTTTCGATTGGTCCAAAGATTCAAATTTTGGTTAAAATAAATGGTTAAGGGTCCACGAATCGTTATATATATATTGTAAAGTTGTAGTTGCAGAGCCAAATAACAGAAAAGTTAACATAGGTTAGTACCTTTTTATTTTCAAAAAACAATAATCATAGATTTCAAAATAAAATAATTTTTTTATTAATTTAAAATTTTCTCTTTCACTCTTTCAATTAAATATTTACTCTAATATAAAATATTATAAGTAGCGTTTATTTGAAATATCTTAATAAGGAATATTCAATTTTTTTTTTATTATTTTTTTTTTTATTTAAAATTTAATTTTTCATTTTAAAAACCATTAATTTATTTAAATAGTATTTTATTAATAATATTTATCGATAACGATAGTAATAAAAATAATAAAAAGTTTTTTTTTATTTTTTATTTTTTTTTTTCTCATATCAAATATATATATATATATAAATATAAATACGATAATATTTTTATCACAGTTAATATTACATCAACGTATAAATAACCACTTAAAATATTTTTTTTTTTTACACTTTTGGAGGAATTTTTTATAATTTTTTATAATTTTTTTTAATTTTGTTAAATTCAATTTTGCACATTCGCTCAAAAAATATAAATTTTCAAATTTTATTTTTTATTCATTTTATTCAAACAACAATTGTATAACAACAACAATAGTAACACTAATAAAAAACAACGACAATAACAAAAACTTTCGCTCCAATACTCATTATCTAATAATAATCTCTTTTTATTTTTTTTTATTTTAACAACCAATTTTTTTTTTTATTATAATTGTTGTTCAAATTTGTATCATTATTTTATATTACTCAATCTTTTGTAATATATTTTTGTTTTAAATTAATCATTCACTTTTTTTTTTTAAATAATTTTAAAATTTTTTTTCATATATTTTTTTATACTTTAATTATTATAAAAAAAATCAATAATGCATAATAATATTAATAATAGTTTACCAAAGGATATCGCTGTAATTGGAATTGGTTTAAGATTACCAGGTAATTCAAACAATCCAGAGTCATTATGGAATAACTTATTGGAAAGCTTTGATGCTATTACACAAGTACCAAAAGACAGATGGGCCAGTTCCTATAAAGATATGAATTTAATTAACAATAAATATGGCGGTTTTTTACAAGATTCTCAATGGAAAAATTTTGATCCTTTATTTTTTGGTATCAGCCCTGCTGAAGGTTAGTATTTAATATAAAAAATCTATACTTTTTATTCTGTTATTAATTTTTTTTTTTTTTTTTTTTTTTTTTACAAAATAGCCCCATTCATCGATCCACAACAAAGATTGTTATTATCTATTGTTTGGGAGTCACTAGAAGATGCTCACATAAAGCCAGAGTCATTAAGAGGATCCAATACTGGTGTATTTGTTGGTGTTTCTAATATCGATTATTCCAAAATGGTATTTCAAGATAATTATAAAATTGCTCCATATACTATTACCGGAACAAATACATCTCTCAACTCTAATAGAATCTCATATTGTTATGACTTCCGTGGCCCATCAATGACTGTTGACACTGCTTGTTCAAGTTCATTAATTTCTGTAGGTTTGGGTGTTCAAGCAATTCAAAGCGGTGAATGCGACTTGGCTGTATGTGGCGGTGTTAATGCTCTCTTTGATCCAACTACTTCAATTGCATTCAGTAAATTGGGTGTACTTAATGAAAATGGTCGTTGTAATACTTTTTCCGACCAAGCCAATGGTTATGTTCGTTCCGAAGGCGCTGGTGTTGTGTTACTAAAGTCATTATCACAAGCTGAAAAAGATGGGGATAGAATCTATGGTGTAATTAAAGGTGTATCCACAAATGAAGATGGTTCCTTAAATAAAAATTCCCTTACAACTCCATCAACTGAATCCCAATCAAATAATATTAATAATGCTATGAAGAAATCAACATTATCTCCAAATGATATTTATTATATAGAAGCACATGGTACTGGTACCAAAGTCGGCGATCCAATCGAAGTGCAGTATGTATAGTTTTTTTATTTATTTTTTTTATTAAAAATCTCAATATTAATATTATTTTTTTCATTTTAGATCTATTTCAAATGTATTTTCAAAAGATAGAAATCAAGTTGAAGATATTGAACCATTATTCATTGGTTCTTTCAAAAGTAATATTGGTCATTTAGAATCTGCTGCTGGCATTGCTTCTTTAATTAAAGTTTGCTTAATGTTAAAAAATAGAATCCTTGTACCATCAATTAATTGCTCGAAACTTAACCCAGCAATACCATTCGATAATTATAAAATAAAAGTTGTCAGAGAAGTCCAAATGTTTCCAAATAATAAAACTATTAATATTGGTATTAATAGTTTTGGTTTTGGTGGGTCAAATTGTCATTTAATAATCCAAGAGTATAATAAACCAACTGATATCAAATGCAATACGTTAATTAGAGATAGCGATAATAATAAGTAAGTTTTAAAAAATTTAATTATACCATAGTTTTAAAATTAATTATTAATTTTTTATTTATTTTAAAGTAAAAATTATTTAATACCATTTTCAATGAATTCCAAAATTTCATTAGAAAAATATATAAATTTAATTAAGAACAATAATTACCACGAATATATATTTTTTAAGGATTTTGTAAAATATCAAATCCTTTCAAAACAATATACTCTAAGCAATAGAATGACAATCATTGCTAATGATTGGCAGTCATTAATTAAATCTTCAAATGAAACATACAGCCATCAAGAGTTCAGAAACCAAACTGTTGCTATTACCGATGGATCTATTACCGATTTGGTCTCTTCTAATGAGCCAATTTTAGTTTATGTATTTTGTGGTCAAGGCCCTCAATGGAATGGTATGATGAAAACGTTATATCGAACAGAACCTGTTTTCAAGAATTCTGTTGATTATATTGATCAAGTTTTAAGCAAATATTTTGGGTATTCAATTTTCCAAAAGTTTTCAAGTATATCTGATAATGATGATAGTATTAATCATCCAGTAATTGCTCAGCCATCTTTGTTCCTTTTGCAAATTGGTTTGGTAGAATTATTTAAATACTGGGGTATTTTTCCTTCCATTTCAATTGGTCATTCTTTTGGTGAAGTTTCATCATACTACTTAAGTGGCTTGATTTCATTAGAAACTGTTTGTCGAATTGTCTATGTCAGAAGTTTTTATCAAAATCAAACAATGGGTACTGGTAAAATGTTAGTATGCTCCATTAGTAATGAACAATGGCTTAGCGAATATTCAACTCTATTCAGTGATTTAGAAATTGCATGTATTAATTCATCAGACTCTATTGTTGTAACTGGTAATGAATTAAGATTAAAAGAGTTTGCAAATATCTTAAATGAAAGCCAAATATTCAATACATTTTTAAGATCTCCATGTTCATTCCACAGCAGTAAACAAGAAATAATAAAAGATTCAATCTTTTCTGAACTTGTAAATGTAGAGTCTAAAGAATCCACCGAAATCCCACTGTTCTCAACTGTTACTGGTGAATTAGTTAACGAACCTCTTTCTGCCACTACAATTTATGAAAATGTTAGAAAACCCGTACTATTCAAAAATTCAATCGAAAGTTTAATTAAATTTTATCACCAACAACAACCAAGCCAACAAAGACAACTTATTTTCATCGAAATTGCCCCACACCCAACTCTTGGATCATTAATAAAGAAAACAATTCAAGAAAGTGTTGTTCCATTCAAAACACAACCATTGATTATCGCACCATTAAACAGAAAAGAAAATCAAGATATTTCAATTAAGAAATTAATTTCACAATTATATTTTAATGGTATAAATATTGATTTCAAATTTCAACTAGATCAAGATGAAAATCAAGATAGCTCATTTAAAGAAACTACAAATTCTTTACCAAGATACCAATGGGATGACAGCGAAGAATACTGGGCTGAACCATCACAGTCAAAAAAGAATAGATTAGAAGGTCCATCAAGCACTTTACTTGGTTATAAAATTATCTATTCATTCCCAGTTTACCAAACTGTTTTAGATTTACAAAACTCAAATTTCTCATACCTTTTAGATCACATTGTTGCTGGTAAACCTGTATTCCCTGGTGCTGGATATATTGATATTATTAATCAATTTTTTGTTCAAACTTCCGATATTCCACTTTCTAATGAAATTATTAGTATTGAATCAATTCAATTTCTCCAACCATTAATGTTAAATCAACATAAATTAACCACTCTTCAAAGCTTATTTGAACCCACCAAAAAGTCCTCATTTTCGGTATCTTTCTTTTCAAAAGATGAAAAGGATGATCAGATTTGGGTAAACACATGTAAAGCCAAAGTAACACTAGAGCCAATGGAGTTATCTCAAAACAGAGTCGAAGATTTGGAGTTATTAAAATCACAATGTAATATTACACAACTTGACAAAAAAGATCTCTATGATAAAATTTCAAAGGATTTAGGTCTTTTTTACAACGATGCTTTTCAAATTGTTCAGTCTATCCATACTGGTGTAAATTGTTCTTTTGCTACACTTCAAATGCCAGAATCTAATGTTACCCATTCCAGCATCTTAAATAGTTGCTTTTTAGATAACTGTTTCCATGGTCTTTTAACTCTTATCAACGAAAAGGGTTCTTATGTTGTAGAAAGTGTTAATTCAATTGCTATCTTTTTAGAGAATATTAGTGTTGATAGTGTTAATTCCCCATTCTATCTTGAAACTAAAATAATCAAGTCTTCGCCATTTTCTACAGAAGGAACATGTAGATTATTTAACAAACAAGGCAAATTAATATTATCAATTGGAAAATTCACCATCAAAAGCACCAATTTGAAACCAAAAGTTATTAATCAATTAGAAACACCATTAAATGAAACATTTTCAATTGAATGGCAAAGCAAAGATAGTCCAATTCCTCCAGCCAAAGAGTCACCTATAAAATTAGATTCATTAGAACTATTTAACAAATCAACAATTTTAAAGGATCAAGACTTTGAAATATATTGCTCATGTTTAATATTCAATCAATTGGTTCAATACAATCCTCTATTTAAAGTATTGGCAACCAATTTTATTCAAGATCAACAAGATGATGCTAATGAAGAAAACTACTGTTTATCAATTATGAAAGAGCTTGGTATCTCAATCGATTACCAAAGATTTTTCTTTAGAATTTTAAAAATTGTTAAATTAAATTTTAGCAATCTTCTATCTAATCAAAAAGAAATTGATCAATTAAAAGATTCAATTAAATCAAAGTTCTATGGTAACAGTAATAGTGAAGATTTAGAGTTCCAATGTATAGAAAAGGTTTCAAATATTATTCCAAAGCTTTTGTTTGAAAATGATAAACAATCTTCAATGACCCTTTTCGAAAACTCATTATTAACCAAGTTCTATGGCCAATCAATTTCAACAAGATTCTATTTAGAATATGTTGCTTCTTTAGTCTTGGAATCAATTAAACCAATAGTAAGAGAGAAAAGAGTTTTTAAAATACTCGAAATTGGTGCTGGCACTGGTTCACTTTCAAATATTGTTTTAGAAAAACTCAACAAGTTTTTATCAATTAATAGTGATAAAAATATTATTGTTGAATATAATTTTACCGATATTTCATCAAGCTTTATTATAGGTTTACAAGAGACAATGGTCACCAAGTATCCAAATATTAGCTTTAAATTTTCAGTACTTGATTTAGAAAAAGATATTAAGGATCAGGATTTCTTTTATTCAGACTATGATATCGTTTTAATGGCCTACGTCATCCACGCTGTTAGTAATATTACCTTTGCTGTAAAACAAATTTACAATTTATTATCACCAAGAGGCTGGCTTTTATGTATTGAACCAAAAGCAAATATTGTCTTCAGTGATTTAGTATTTGGTTGCTTTGGTCAATGGTGGAATTATCAAGACTCCATAAGAACATCTCACTGCTCATTAGAATCTGAACAATGGAAACAAGTATTGTCTGAAAATGGTTTCCCAATGAACTCATTTATTGGATCATTAGAAAGCAACTCACATTCTTTCATCATTCATAGCCAAAAAGAATCAATTACACAAATTAAATCAAGTTCAAAATTATCTATTGAAAAAATTTCATTCGTTGTTAATGAAAATCAAAAACTTATGGAGCCACTTTTGAACGACGCTAATACTATTTCAATGAACCCAGTTGAAATAATCAAATTAAATCAATTAGATGTTGAAAAACTCTCCATAAGTTCAGTTGTTTTTTTCATGGTTGGTTTGGAATTAATGGAAACTTATAAAGAAGAGCTATATCAATTCATTCAACTATTAAATCAATTAAGTTTATCAAACTTTAATGGAAAGGTCGTCCTTGTAACCAAACAATCATTTTTAACATCGAGAAACTATTTCTCTCGTTCTTTAGTTGCAATTGCTCGTTCTGCTATGAATGAATATTCAAACCTTGACATAGTTTCTATCGATTTGGACTCAAATGACTACAATTTAAATTCATTACTTGTACCAATACAATCAAGATTTTCTGATAATGAATTTATTTATAAAAAAGGAATATTATTTGTTTCAAGATTTTTCAAAAACAATTCAAAACTTTTACTATCTAGCCAATCATTTGAAACTAATGATAATAACATGTATCAAACAACTTTATCTGATTTATCAATAATCAGAAAAGCTAAAGGTAAATATATTATTAAAAAAAATTATTTATAAAAACAAAAACATATACTAATTAAATCTAATTAATAGATGAATTGTCAAATAATGAAATCGAAATTAAAGTTAAATCAGTTGGTATTAATTTTAAGGATAATTTATTCTATAAAGGTTTATTACCACAAGAAATATTTAGAAAAGGCGATATCAATAACCCACCATTTGGACTAGAATGTTCAGGTATTATTTCTAGAATAGGTAATGGTGTAACTGAATTCAAAGTTGGTGATCAAGTATTTGGTTTTGCAAGACATTCATTAGGTAGCCATGTTATTACAAATAAAGACTTAGTTATTAAAAAACCAGAATCAATTACCTGGGACCAAGCTGCCAGTATCCCAGTTGTCTATTGTACCGCCTATTATTCTCTATTTAATATTGCTCATTTAAATGATAATAATGAATCAGTATTAATTCATTCTGCAACAGGTGGTGTAGGTTTAGCCTCTTTAAACCTTTTAAAAATGAAGAAATTTGAAAATGTATATGCAACAGTAGGTTCTGAAGAAAAGAAACAATATTTAGAATCAAACTATTCATTTATTAAATCAATATTTTCAACAAGAACAAAGGAATACTCTGGTCAACTAGAAAACAAAGTTGATGTTATTTTAAATACCCTCTCTGGTGATTTTATCGAAAGCAACTTTAAATCATTAAAATCATTTGGTCGTTTAATAGATATTTCTGTTACACATATTTATGCTAACCAACAAATAGGTTTGGGTAATTTTAAATCTGACCATCTCTATACTGCTGTCGATTTAGAAAGACTAATTGATGAAAAGCCATTACTCTTAAAATCAATTCTTTCAAAAGTAACCAATGAAATTGATAATGGAAATTTAGAATTAATCAAAATCAATCAGTTCAACTCAAGTGAAGTTAAAACTGCCGTAGAATCATTGTCAAATAGATCTCATATTGGAAAAATAGTTGTTAGTAACTGTGAAAATATGGTATCAAGCTCTGAAAGTAGAATCCAAAAAAAGAAATACGATCTTAAACTAGATTCAACAATTCTTATTACTGGTCAAAGTGGTCTCTCTATCCCACTAATAGAATGGCTTTTAACCCATTCTATTGATTCGGTTAGTAACGTAGTAATAATTTCAAAATCCCCAATGAAATGGAAATTACAAAACCTTGTATTTAAATTTAAAAATGTCAAATTTAATTATATCCAAGCAGATATTTCAAACTACGATGAAATCTATGCATCTTTAAAATCATTACCAGATTTACCCCCAATCAAATCAGTTTTCCATCTCGCAGCTTGTTATAATGATGTCCCAATGAACCAGGTTACAATGGATACTATTGAATCAGTTCATAATCCAAAAGTATGTGGCTCAATTAATTTACATCGTCTAAGCATTTCTTTGGGTTGGAATTTATCCCACTTTATACTTTTCAGCTCGATCACTGGTATTACTGGTTATCCAGACCAATCAGTCTATAACTCTGCAAATATTATTTTAGATGCTCTCTCTAACCATCGTAGGGTAATGGGTTTACCATCTTTTGCTATAAACTTAGGTCCAATGAAAGGTGAAGGCAAAGTTTCAGATGTTAAAGCAATTAAAAAACTTTTTAAATCAAGAGGTCTTCCATCATTATCTTTAAATAAATTGTTTGGTTTATTAGAAGTTGTTATTAATAACCCACTAAAGGCTGCTATTCCATCTCAGTTTATTTGTAGTCCAATAGATTTTAACAACTATCTTGACACATTCAAAAACATGAATACCAAATTATCACATTTATCTAGTGATAGTATTTCTAAAGATAAAGAGAAAGAAAGAGAATTATTAAGCGATTCTGTTAGTATCAAGGATAAAGTCCTTGAAAAGGTTTCAGAACTTTTATCAATTCCAATTTCAAAAATCAATATGGATACTTCCCTCAAAATGTATGGTCTAGATTCCCTTTTAAGCGTTCAATTCAAGAGTTGGGTAGATAATCAATTTGAAAAAGGATTAATTAATCATCTGGAATTATCATCAATCACTGTAAACTCTTTTATCGAAAAAGTAAATACTAAATTTGGAGGTTCTTCAGTTCAAAAACAACCAATTACAATTGTTAAAGTTATTGAAACACCAACTGCAACTCAAACAACTGTTCCAGCAATTGAATTACCACAAAAACCAGTAAATATTAAAACTCTAAGTTGTCCTTTATCTATTAAAACACCAATTCTATTACCTTCAAATGAATTATCAGTACCATTATTTAAATCAACTGCTTCATCACCAGAGTTATCAATGACAACTCCACCAATTGTTAACATAAGAAATTTAAATAATAGCATTTTGGACACCCCACCACTTGAAAGTCGTAAAAACCATGTACGTCTTATTACATCTAATATTCATGCACCATCACAATTACAAACAATTCATCAACCAAAACAACAACTTGCATTCAAAACCAATAACAATGCATTTATTTTGGGCTTAGGTAACTCTGTACCAGGCGAACCAATTTCACAAGAAAAATTAAAAGAATCAATATCAAATGATTTTTCTAATGACCCAAAAACAAATGAAAAAGTAAAAAGAATCTTTGAACAATCGCATATAAAAACAAGATACCTTGTTAGAGACTATACAAAAGAAGAAAATTCAATTAAGTATCGTTCAAAAGAATCAATCACTGATGTTAATGAAGCATTTAAAGATTGTGTACCAGATTTAGCTGAAAAAGCATGTACCAAAGCAATTGCTGATTGGGGCGGTAATAAAGAAGATATTACACATATCATGTCTGTTTCATCCACTGGTGTCATCATCCCAGATGTTAATTTTAAACTAATTGACAAACTTCAACTTAATCAAGATATCGAAAGAGTATCACTAAATATGATGGGTTGTTTAGCAGGTCTTTCAAGTTTAAGAACAGCAAGCTCACTCGCCAAAGCTTCACCAAGAAATCGTGTTTTAGTAGTTTGCACTGAAATTTGCTCACTCCATTTTAACAATACTGGAGGTGGTGATCAAATGGTTGCAAGTTCTATTTTTGCCGATGGTGCAGCTGCCTATATTGTTGGTTGTTCCCCAAAAATCAATGAAACACCGTTCTTTGAAGTTATTCAATCAATTAATCGTGCAACTCCAAATACTGAAAATGCAATGGTATGGGATTTACAAAAAGAAGGCTGGAACTTAGGTTTAGCTAGCAGTATTCCCCATGTAATAGGTGAAGGTATCGAAAAATTTGTTAATGACCTTTTATATAAAGCAAAATCTCAAGTATCATCTCTATCACCAAAAGAATGCGAATTTTTAATCCATACCGGAGGTAAATCAATTTTGATGAATATAGAAAATGCATTAGGAATTGATCCAAAGATGAATAAACACACCTGGGATATTTATCATGCATATGGAAATATGTCATCGGCTTCAGTTATATTTGTATTAGATCATGCTCGTAAAAGTAAAAACTTACCAACATATTCAATTTCATTAGCTTTTGGACCAGGCTTAGCTTTCGAAGGTTGTTTATTAAGAAATCTTGTATAATTTTTGAATAAATAAAATAAATAAAAAGTAAAATTACAAATAAAATATAAAATTTTATAAAATTTTTTTTTTTTTTTTTCATCTTTTTATATTTCTTTTTATACAAGTTGTTATTTATTATTTTTATCTTTTTATAATAGTTGTTACTTTTATTTTTTATTTTATTAAAAATAAAAAAATAATTTGACCTACTTTCTTTGTTTTATCCAATTTTCTTGAATCCTTCCCAAAATATTTTTTTTTTTTTTTTTTTCTAATTATTTTTGGTTGCTTATTAAAAAATAAATTTCATTTTCGTTTCATTTGGTTTGTCTTTGAATACATTAGCTCAAGTATAAAAAAAAATAAAAAAGGTAAATTTCAAAAAAAAATTTTTATTTTTTTTATTTTAATTAATTTTTTTTATTTTTTTAATTAAATTTTTAATTTTTTTGTAAACTGAAGCTTTAATATTAGGAAATAATTTAAAAATGCCATTATTCGAAACAATCAAGATAGATAAAGAAAAAATAAAGAATATTGTTAAAGATAACTGGGATCTCGACCTTGGTGATTGCATTAAAGAAAGTCAAAATCACACTTTTTCAGCAGAAAGAGGAAATGATAAATTTATTGTTCGTGTGACACCAGATCCAAAGAAACAAAGAATTGAATGTACAGAATTAGAAACATCACTTTTACAATATTTATCAAATGACATTTCTGTTTGCCCATCAGTAGAAAATAAAGATGGTAAGCTTATGCTTGTTGTTGATGATTTAATCATTTGTGTTTTTAAATATGCCAAAGGTGACCCAGTAAACTATGTCGAATGGAAATGGTTAAATAAAAATGTTGTTAATGATTTAGGTACTTGGTTTGGTAAACTTCATAAACTTACCCGTCAATTCTCTAAAGAGTATCCAGAAATTTCATCAAAAGCACGTCATTGGACAACTCTTCACGACTCAATCTTAAAAGATGTTCCAGTAGATGAAAGGGATAACCAAACATCTAAAGATCCAAATAAATTTACAATTATCCATGGTGATGTTAATCCAAGCAACTATTTTTGGTCAGAAAGTGAAGGAATCTGTATGTTTGATTGGGATCAAACTCAATTATCATGGCTTCTATACGATTTAAGTGCTCCAATATTTGGTGTTTGGGTTTTAGAAAAGAAAGGTTCCCCAATTGATGGTAAAATCTTACCAGAGTTCAACTCTCAACAATATACCGATTACCTTCTCGAAACTTATGAGCCAATTTTTGGCGAAAAAGTTTGTCGTGAATCATTATCAAGAATGGTCGATATTCGTAAACAACTATATGTTCGTTTCTGTAGAGCTGCAATCCACGAATTAGAGGAATCATCCCCAATGTATAAATTCTGCAAAGGTATGAATGATTTCTTTGAAACCCTTGGTATAAACTAATCATTCGAAATCAAAAAATAAATATTCTCAATACTTTATTAAATAAATCAAACACAAAAATATTTTTTTTTTTTTTTTAAACTTTTTTTTTTTTATTTTTTTTTTATTTATTTTTTTGGTTATCGTTAAAATTTTTTGTTGGAGTTGTAAAAGGAGTTTTGTTTGGAGTTAAAGGTGATGTTGTTGTTGCTGTTGTTTGTTGATATTGCTGTTTAATTTGCTGTTGTAATTGAGAAATTGTAATATTTAAATCGAAATTAAAATTTAAACTGTTCATTATACTTGAAGGTGGTAATGTACTAGGATCAGCATCTGGTTCGGGAACTCTAAAGCCAAGACCTCTTCCAATTTGATATATTTTATTTAATGTTTCGTCAAATTCTTTGTTTTTGACCAAAATTAGATAAGCTTTGTAAAGGTCCATAGCAGTTTTGGCATCTTCTACAGAACAATGTGTTTCAGTTTGAATATCAATTTTTAGGAGGATATATGCAAGGAAACGAAGTGATAATTTTCTTTGATTTCTCAATTGGAATAATTCTACAGTGTCGACAATTTGTTCGGGTGGGACATATATGTTGATAATACGGAAATCTTTTTTAAGACCATGACCTACAAATTTCACTTTTTGATCTACCAAATAACGGAGTTTTAGGTAGCAACTCTTTAATGAGATTACATTTTTTGTTGATATTTTGGGGTCTAAATCACCAGGATTGATACCAGAGAAACGGGTGAGATAATCTGTAACAGGTTCTATGGATTGGATATAATCATCAATAAATGGTTCACCGTTTTCACGAACAATACTGACTCTGGCCAATGAAAAGTTACCTGGTTGGATAATAACTCTTTTACCATCACTTGATACCTCGGTTTCTTCTGGACCTATTGAAACAAATTCAGTGTCGATTGCTATATAATCATTTTCTCTTGGTATAGTTGAAGGTGTAGCTGGTACAAAACTAATTGGTGGTTTACATGTAATGATATTATTTTGTAAATATACTTCCTTTGTAATAGTTGGTTGATGTTCTGGTATTGATAATCTCTTTTCTTTTGGTACAACTTTTGTATAATATAAAATAGCTGGTGTTTTCCAATTACTGTCAAAATGTGTAACATCAATTGGTGTACATGGGTTAATTTTAAAATCGTTGAAATTAAACCAAGTTAGATCGATTGTATTATTGTTATTTGTTGTTGGAGTTGGAGTTGGAGTTGTTGGTAGTGCATTATTATGAGTTGGTGTATTATTTGGTGTTGTATTGGAGGCTAATGAATATTTAGGTGGTGTTGATGATGGTGATACGGATGATGAAGTTGTTGTTGGTGTTGATGGTTTACCATTGATACTATGTATAATTGATGATGCTGTTGATGAATATATTGGGGTTGTTGGGTATGGTGGTTTAAATTCTTTATCATAATAATCCGATACTTTGATTTGGGTAATTAAATGACCTTGTTTTGGAATTCTTTTAACTTGATCTTTAATATGTGAAATACATGAAGTGAGTTCATAGAGCTGACCGTCTTCATTTATTTCTTCGGTTAAATCTTTTGGGTTTATGGTGTGTTTGGATTTCTCTGGGTTATTTGGGTACTCTATGATTAACAATTGACCATTTTCATCGATTTTAATTCTAATTTTTAATGGTAACCAAGTAATTTCATCATTTGGGTTAATTACAGTAGCATTCAATGCTGATGATGTTATGGTGGCTATAGTTACATTGGTTGATGATGTTGTTGGGGTTGTAGTGGTAGAATTTGAGGAAGATGATGGAGCTGTAATATTAGCTGCAGTTGAGGTTGCTGAAGGAGTGGATGTTAATGAAGTTGGTGCAGTATTTGATGTTGAGGATGAAGTTGGTACGGTTGATCCTGTAGCTTTAAATGTTTTTGAACCTGGTATAATATTGGTTGTTTCAAATTTCCAATAATCTTCATTTTCTTTCTTTAGACAATTAGCATTTAAACATAAAATATTTGGTAAAGTTTTTAAATTCTTTTTTTGGTATGTCGATGAATAAGTTTGACACTTATCACACCATGCTGGAGATTTAATTTGTTTACATAGACTTTGTTTTAATATATTACTAAAAGTTGAACCATCGGGACCAAGTTCTTGAGGGGTAGATGGATAATTAATATCATATTGAAATTGCTTTGATATTTTTTCATATTGGTAACCACAATTTATACATTTATTACATGATATTAAAGTTGAACTAAATAGTGTATCAATAATTGTATCATTATGTAAACTATTTTCATTATTATTTTGATTATTTTGGTTATTATTTTGATTATTATTGTTGTTATTATTTGTATTGGTATTATTATTATTTTCATAAGTTGGTATTGGTGGTGTCATTTCTTTTTGAAGTTGTTCTAAAATAAATCTATTAAAATTTGCAATTAGTTGTGGTAGTGGTATCTGTGCATTATCTGGATGGTCACTTGATAAAAATATACCAAGAGCTGAGGTTTGAGGAATTTGTTTTAATACTCTAATGAAATTGCTTGTGTCCACAATATTGCCTGCTGATTTATCCATCATTTGGAAAACAAAACCTAATTCACAACTAAGACAATAATATCTTGTACATAAATGATTTAACATTGTTTCTTTAATTTGTGGAATAAAGTAAAGATTTTGTATACAACTATTTGAATAACTATTTGGTAAAATATTTTCTAAACCTGAAAATTTCGTTCTATTATATTGACTAAAAGTAAAATAATAAGTATTAGATTTAAATATTTCTTTTAAAAAGTAATAAAAAAGAAAAAATAAATAAACAAATTTACTTACATCATGTCAAAATCTTCAATACCAAATTTCTTGAATTTCATTTCACCCCATCTATATACTTTTGGTGGTCTTAGCTGTGACATTGTTGATAATGTTAAATTTAACGCTTTAGTTTTACCGTCTTCATAAGCTTTTCCACGAATTTGTTTTCTAGAAATTCCAGTATTTGAAATGTAACCAACAAAATCGTGCTGTTTTAAATGAGCCAATAATGAGGGATTTATTGGTCTTGGAGGTAAACCAACAGGGAATGAAAGAGTTGGTTTCCAGAATGAAAGTAAAAATGGATCTGATCCATTAATAAAAGCATTTGGTTGTTGCTGATCGAAAACTACTTCACTTAATGGTGAAGTTTCATCCATTTTTTGAGGTCTTGAAAGTTGAGTAAATGGTACACATTCAGTTGGGTATGAAGCTACATTAACATGAATGTCTTCTTTTTCGGCCCATTGATGCACAAGACCACCACTATCACCCAATGCCATAATTTCACCAGATTGAGATATATCGAAAGATTGCATATAACCAAATAGGGAATCCACCTGGTAGTATTGGCTTGTGGATTGATCACTTTGAATATCTGTAAGATAAATTTGATTTGAAGATTCGCTAATGACTGCAATGGTTGAATAAAAAACTGGGTGGAACTTAACGATAGATGGACGTTTATATTGAATTGGTGGTAAACTTCTTAGGGTTTTAATATCGTAAACTCTGACTATAGGATCAATATAGAGCTGACCTAATCTTGGTGAACAACCACAACTTACTAAAAGATCCAATTTAATATCTACAGATTTGATGTCACCTTTATGCGCTGATAATGATTGTTCAATTTTCCAAGTTCTTGGATCCAACATAGAAATCTCACCATTAACTTGACCACACCAAAGACCACGATTCTTGTTAATAGTCTTGACACCTGATGGCATTGTTAATTCTTTAACAACTTTACCTGTATAGAAATCCACTACAAAAAGTATATTTTGATCAGAACCCACAACAATCTCTGTATTATTATAATTTGTGAATGAAATTGCATTCAAATCCTTCATTTTATCATTTTTAACTTGATAAATTGGAGCACCACCACGGCTGTGATATGAGAGTAGTGTCTTTGATAATGATAAAATACCTTCTGAATCTACTAATAAATCTTTAATCTCTGTTTTATCTACAAAAAAACTTGAAAATCTATCTAATGTTGGATTGATTAATGATGAAATTTTACCCTGTGTTCAGAAAAAAATAAAGAGTTAATATCCTATTCATATGTTTATACCCCATATGTATTATTAGTTATTTACATTTTGATAACCAATCCATAATAACTCTTCCCATGGATCAAATTTTAAACAAGTAATAGGATTCGGTATATTTGAGGCGGGATATTCAGGAACCACCCTCATTTCGAACCATGTGCCGTCATAATATTCATCTTGTTGATCTACTCCTACCATATCATAACCAACTTGAGAAGGGTACCCATAAAGGCCATTGTTTGGATTATAAATTGGTTGTTGTGGTTGTTGTTGTGATTGTGGCTGTTGTTGTGATTGTGGCTGTTGCTGCTGTTGAGGATAACTATTGTGATATAAAGGCGATGTCGATGAACCACCTCCACCACTTACACCATTTCCACCCATACCCATTAAATGGTTGGTAGCATATGCAGATAATGGTGATCCACCACCATTTATTAAATGATCTTGCTGAAAGTTACTAAAGAGTAAACCATTATGTGGTGGTGGTGGCTGTGATGATTGTTGTCCTAAAATATGATTATTATTTGAACTACCATACATTTAAATTTATTATATAATTTCATATAATATATATAATTTGAAATTATATATATATTTTTACAACCAAATAACCTATTCTATTTTTTTTTTTTTTTTTTTTTATAAACTTGGTTTTTTTACTTGAATTTATTCTATAGTATCTTTCTTTTTTCGTTTTTCGACCCTTTTTTTATAATATTATAAATATATATTAATAATTTGGTCATTTATAGAAATAATAAATAAATAAAATACTATTAAAATACATACATATACAACAAATAATGTATAAAATATAATATAAATTAAATTATCGTTTTTATTTTTAGATAGTTATATTATAGATAAATAGTTATAATAAGAAATAATTAAATAAAAAAAAATAAAAATTAAAAAAATTAAAAATTAAAAAAAATCAAAAAAAAAAAAAAAAAATTTTTAAAAAAATAATTTAAAAAAAAAATTTAAAAAATAAGTTTTTTTTTTTTTTTTAATATTATTATTTATTTATTCATTTCATTTGGATTATATTATTCTTTGAAATACTCTTTGTTTGTGTGTTGTTTCTTATTATATAATATAAATTAAAAAATATTTTTTTGTTTACAAAATAGTAATTCATATTGTTTTTTCATATAAAATTTTAAAGATCCCCAAATATAACAAATAAAATAAAATTTTAAAAATAAAAAAAAAAAATAAAAAAAAAAATAAAAATAAATAAAATTTGTGTGTATATACATATGTATATTAATAATGTTAAAATATTAATATAATATAAATTTTAAGAAAATATAGAACAATTATTTTAATTTAAAACAATAAAAATATAAAATATAAAATAATATATAAAACTCATAAACACAATAAAAATATAAAATGAACAAGCAACAACATCAGCAGCAGCAGCAACTACAGCAGCAGCAGCAACAGCAAAGACCATTAAACAGTAGTGGAAATATTAAAAGTCAGATAATACACAATAAACAACAGTCTCAACCTGATCTAATAAAACCACAGACAACACATCAGCAATCATTACAGCAAAAATCAAGCTCTACAAGTAATTTAAATATATTAAATAATAACAATAAAATAAAGAAAACTAAATACTCTGCAAGCTATTTGAATCAAATGAATAATATCGAAAGTGAAATCAAGAAATGGATAAAAGAGAAATGTGATACATCTTTATCAGAGGATTTTTTAGAAAAAGATTTAATGGAATCATTAAGCACAGGAACGATTCTATGCGTATTAATCAATACAATTAAACAGGGTACTATCCAAAAAATACATTTACAACCCACACATTTACAAAAGATTGAAAATATTAGAAATTATTTAAGGGCATGTTGGTTATTTGGTTTACATTCAAAATATTTTTTTCAAAGCTCATATTTATTAACTATGGAAAATGATCCAAGTGAAATTAATAATAAAATAAATAATAAAAATAATAATGAAGTAATAGTGATAATAAGTCCATCTAAAATAATTAGTAACAATAGCAACAATAATATAACATATACACTCACAATCAACTTGGAACATAAAGAAAAGATTATGATAAATTTAGCAGAGCTACGTAAAATATCTTTTAAAATTAAATCATCGTAAGTGTATAAAAAAAATATTTAGTTTCTCTATAACAAAGATAAAAAATACTAATTTTTTTTAAATTATAATAAATTTAGTGGAAGTTTTTTAGCGCCAGGTAGCAGTGGAAGTAGTACAAATCTTAGTACAGTCTCAACTCCACCAACACCAATAAGTATAAATGATAATAGTAATAACTCTAGTTCAACATCTTCACCAATTATTTTAACAAACAACTCCAATTCACCATCGATACAAGATAATATAGCGAATAATAATAATAGTAATAATATTAATATTAATAGTAATAGTAATAATAATAAATCAATATTAAATAAAAAATCAAAAATAATGAAAAAAGATTTAATTATTGATAGTGATAGCGATAGCAGCGATTCAGATAATGAAACAAGATCAACAACATCTTCTTCCTCCTTATTATTAGGCAGTGATGGTACACCAATAATATTATCACAAGACGAACCGTCGTCTATATCATTTAAATCGTTTATAAAGGAGATTATCCATTTAAAGAATAGAATTTCAAAACAAGATAAAATAATAAATGACCAAAAAGATACAATTGAAACATTAGAAAAAGATTTGGAGAAACAAAGGCAATTAAATAAACGATTAGTAGAGATTCCAATGGACATATCATCATTCTTAGAAACATCAGTAGATCCAAATGGAGCCATTCCAGTATCAATCCAAGCATTCACAAGGCAAATTCAACAGATACAATCATTGCAGCAACAAAACCAATTATTAGAAACAGAAATATCGAAAACTAATGAACATTTAGCTGGGCATATCAGAAAAAACACAAAGTTGGAAAATGAAGTTTTGTTAATCGAAAATGAATTATTAAATTTAAGAATGAAATATGCAAATACCCTTTCAAACAATCCAACACCAAACAATTTAGCCAATAGCGGTACAACTACCATGGTATCTTCAAGAAGCCCATTATCTAGAACTATTTCCCAACCATTTCCATTAAGAAAATCAATTTCTCATTCAAATATTATGGAAAAAAATCAAAATCCAAATAACACTACAAACCCCTCAATACAAACTTCACAATCACAATCAACTTCACCATTAAATTCCTCATTAGCCATACCTCATTCAAATAATTCGAATCTTAGTAAATCAAATAGTTTTGTATATAATAGCAATAATAGTAACAGTAATAGTAATAATAATATTAATGGTATTAACTCAGATGATGGTACAAGTTTGAAAACTAGTGGTAATGGATTAACATTTAAATTTTCATCAGCAACTAGTATATTACCTCCATTAAAAGTTTCATCAACTCTACAACAAAAAAAACAATTACAATCCCAGCCATCTCAACCATCCCAGCCACCTCAACCACCTCAACCATCTCAACCATCTCAACCATCTCAGCCATCTCAACTAAAGAAATCAATAAATCAAAACAATACTTTACAAATTGAATCTCCATTTTTAATTTCAAATCAATTAAACATACCGCAGCAAGAATCAGAATATGATAAAGAATTGGTCGAGTTTGGTAAGAAAATAGTATCCGCGTTATTATCATCAAGCAACCATGTTGAAATGACAGATATATACAAGATGAACAGTATATTTTCAAACGAAACATCTCGTCGACAAATTTGTAAAGTATTAGACGAAGAAACCAAGGCTAATCAACTAAAGTTGCCAATGAATGAAAATTCATTTGAAGTTACACTTTATTTAATCAACACTATACTTCAATCGATCTATGAAGCTACAAGTAAAGATTATTTTAGTTTAAAGTTAATTATGGATTGCTCTAGAATATTAAATCGAAAAAAAGTAAATGGCAATTGCGAATTTATACAAGAGTTTATCAAGGATCATCCAACATGGAAAGATATAGATTTCTGGGAAGAACAGTATTGGGATGAATTAGTAATGAAGCATGAACAATTTGGCTCCACAGCAGATTTCCTCGAGGTAGATAGCGAACTAGTCAACACTCTATTGATTTCATATGTATATAATTTAGAAAGCTGGGGTTTATCAAAAGATACTGTAAAACAATTCTCTATTTCAATAGCAAAGAAATCGTTCTTAAGAAAACCAGAGCTTGAAAAGCTAATCGAACAAGTTACATCAATTGCAGAGCTTTCATTCAAATCTGATCAATGTAAAGGTGCACACTCATTCGTTTTGAAAACTTTTAGGATGATTACCGAATGCAACTATTGTAAAGAATATATTTGGGGTGTCAGAGGTATCGTAGCGAGAGAAGCATTTGAGTGTGTTGGTTGTAAATATAAAACACACAAGAAATGTTTAAAAGAAGCCTCAGAGACAACATTTTGCTCTTCTCCCAATGTTGGTGCACCATTTAATGTTAAACATGAGATTCATGTTGGTTTAGCTTTGCAAGGTATACCCGAGCAATGGCGTACTCTTTTAACTCAGTCTGGTTTCCAAGATTGCGAAATTCAACAACACCCAGAAGATGTTTTGGATGTTTTAGAATTTCATCATGTATATAATGAAAAAAACAATAATGGTAGTAATTCAGTTAGATTACCAAATAATAATAATATCATCAACAACAACAGCAATATAACAAATAATAATGATTTAAATAATTTAATTAAAAATTTCCAACAACAGCATTCAACATTTGAACAACCAATCGAAAATGGATATTTTGAAAATGTTAATGATGAATATAATATTTCACCACCCAATTCAAATTTAATGATGTGTCCATCATCACCAGGAGGTATTGACAATTCATTGCTAGCAATTGAAGAACCATCCTTTACATTAAAAGACTTGGTTTCATTAGAGAATCCAATGGAGCTATATAAGGACATTGTTAAAATTGGTAGTGGCTCCACAGGTCAAGTTTATGTCGGTATGAACTCTCAAACCAGTGAAAAAGTAGCCATCAAGAAAATGAAAGTAGACAACAATAATATAAAAAATATAATCAACGAAATTTCAACAATGAAAAATTCAAAACATAAAAATTTAATTAAATATGTAAATTCTCATTTAATCGTAAATCAACTTTGGTTAATAATGGAATATATGTCATATGGTTCATTAACTGACTTAATTTCAACAAATATCACTATTACTCAAAACAATTTAAATAATCAAAACAATCTTACATTAGGCTCCACCTCCTCAATTACCTCAGCAATATCAGCATCAACTCATATGAGCACTTTATCAAGTTCACATTCAACAACTCCAACATACTTTACAGAGTCTCAAATTGCTTATATTTGCCAACAGGTTTTACAAGGCATAGATTATATTCATAAAGGTCACAGAATTCATAGAGATATTAAATCTGATAATATTTTAATTGGTAAAGATGGTTCTGTTAAAATTTGTGTAAGTAAATTTATTATTTAAAAAAAAAAAAAAAAAATAGTTTGCTAATGAATATAATTATAATTGTAATAGGATTTTGGATTTGTTGCAAATCTTACTCGAAAAAAATTACAAAGAAATTCAGTTGTAGGCACTCCATATTGGATGGCACCTGAATTGATTAAAGGTAACCAATATAACCATAAAGTCGATATTTGGAGTTTAGGTATTTTAGCAAGAGAACTATCAGAAGGTGAACCACCATATGCCAAGTATCCACCAGTTAGAGCATTGTTTTTATTGACAATGGAAGGCGTACCAGAAATGAAAGATCCAAACAAATGGTCCAACGAGTTTATAGATTTTGTAAACCTTAGTTTAAATTTAGATGATAAGCGTAGACCTGATGCCCATTATTTATTAAGACACCCATTTTTAAAGAAATCTTGTTCAGTAAAAGAATTTTCAGAAAAAGTAAAAGAAATTTTTAATATTAGAAAAAATCAATTCTCAGATATAAATATTTAAAATGCATCAATTAAAACAAGAAATATCAAAAAACAATAAAAATCTGTGCAATAAATAGTAATTACTATTGTAAAGTTTTGCCATTATATAAAAAAAATAAAACAAAAAAAAAAAGAGTAATTTAAAATTGTTTTTTTTTTTTTTTTTAATAATACATAAATAAATAAATAAATATACTTTTATTTTTATTTTGTTTTGTTTTGCTTTATTTTATTTTGTTGTGTTTATTTGCTTTATTTTATTTTATTAAATAAAGAGACCAAAAACGAAACCTACTGGAATTAAAATATAAACAGGGATGAATGGAATTGCAATATGGCCAATTTTATCGATTAAATAAAGATATAACAAAAGTAAAAATACATTTACCAAACCAATTAAAATGAATTCTGGACCAGGTTTTGGAATCATTGATAAGAGTGTTAAAATAGTTGTAGCGATAAAGATAAAGAATGGTATGAATCTAACTGTCCATGATAATGGTGTGACTTCTTGAGAGATAACTTCTAAAATTGTATAGATTGTAAAGTAAACAATAGCATTTGGGTAAAATATTTTAAATACTTTTTTTATTCCTCTATTTCTGAAACGTGGTTGTTCATTTTTTTTCTTTCTACTGTCATCTCTTAATAACATTGCTAATCCTAAAAATACCCACAATGGAATTAAACAATTTATTATTGATACATTTTCATTTTTTGGTTCGTCTAATTTAACTGATGTCATAATGACAAATACTGAGAAACTTAATGTTGATAATACACTCCAAACAAAATATTCAAAATGTTTAGTAATTTTGGTTTTAAAAAATATAAAACATAGAATAAAAAACAGCGATATATATAATGGTGAAAAAATCTTGACCCTAAATCAAATGAATTTAAAATATGAAAATTAGTATGAATATTAATATATTTTATTTATATACTATTATGATACATACCATGTCCATGATGTTAATTTACCAGATATCTTCATTAAAAATACAATTAACCAAAAAACTAATAAAACATTTGACTATTTATAAAATAAAAATTAGTAACTATTGTATTATTGGACCATTATTACCATATTCTTAATGTTTACTTACCAGAATCCATGATAATACTTTAAAAAATTTAACCGAACCCATTTTTTTTTTTTTTTTTTTTTTTTTGATTGATATTTATAAATTTAAAAAAAAATGAAAAAAAATATTAAAAATTATTTATTTATTATTTATAAAAGTTTTATATGTTTATATAAATTATAGTTTAATTATTAAAAACTAAAAAAAAATAAATGTAATCTAAAAATAAATTTAAAAAAATAAAAAAAATGGAAAATAATTGAAAAATAATTTAAAAAAAAAAAAAATTAAAAAACTTTAAATTTTTTCAAAGATTTTTGAAACAAAATAAAATCCCACATTTTATCACCTAAATAAAAACCATTTCTCTGTTATTTCTGTGTTTTTATTATTTTAATATCAACACAAAACTACCAAATTAATAAATAAATAACATCAAATAAAAATTATTGAAATTATTTTTTTTTTTTTTTTTTTTTTTCATATTTTTTTTAAATTAAATTTTTAAATTAAATTAAAAAAAATATTTTAATATTAAAATATTTATTTTATTCATTATTTATTTATAATAATTAAATGTCAAGAAGAATCAACAATAACAATAAAAACAACAAAATAGAAGAGAATGATCAACATTTTGGTTGGGGGTGGAATGAACAAGGGCAATTAGGTATTCATTCATTTAGTAATTTTAAACCTTATACAGCATATGGATCTCAAAGTACCCAAGTAAATGCATGTATTAAAAAACCAACATTTTTAAATAATCAAGATGATTTATATAGTAAATCGGTTGCGATTGGTTTGGCACATAGTTTATTAATTGATAGCAAAGGTCAACTTTATTCTACTGGCAAAGGTGCAAATGGAAGAACTGGTATGGGCAACGAATCAACAATATTCAATTTTAAACCAGTTGTATTCAACAATGACGAACTAACCGAGGCGAATAAGTATCGATATTCAAGTAGCTATTATCAACCAAGATTCTTAAATAGACCAATAACAGGAAACCATACAAAAGTAATTAAAATCAGTTGTGGTGGTGCTCACAGTGCATTCATTACTGAAAACTTTGAACTATTTACATTTGGTAGAAATGATAGAGGTCAGCTGGGCCACGGTCTTTTAGATCAATTGGTAATTCCAAAAAAAGTTAATTACCAACATTATGAATATGAGGAATCAAGTAAATCAATTAAAGAAAACAAACTAATCACCGCCAGTAATGTAGACCTGGTTGCATGTGGTTTAAACCACACTGTTTTCTCTTTGGTCGATGGATGTGTTTACTCTATGGGTGATAACAAACATTTTCAACTAGGTTATGTCTCGAAAGAAGACGAAGAAATGGAGTATAGACCACGTTTAATTGAATCCCTAAATTTACCCAAAAAACAATTAGAACAACGTTACACCAATATAAAATCGATTTCTTGTGGCTCAAATTTTAGTGTTTGTGTAAAACAAGGAAATATTTACACCTGGGGTTTAAATAGTGTTGGTCAATGTGGCTTCTCACCAAAAGAAACAAAATCAATTACCGCACCAAAACTTTTAATAATTTATAACGATGCTTCAACCTTATCAAACGAAGATAAAAATCAATCTGGAACCAACAAAAAGAAAAAACCAACCTTTACTTTTACTCAGGTATCATGTGGTAATGACCATAGTTTAGCACTAACTACTAATGGTGAGGTATTTGCATGGGGTGAATCCAAACATGGTCAAATCGGTTTTGCTACATCAATGAGTACATTAGTCGATTTTGACACCAGTACACCAATTAAAGTACGTGAATCTCTATCAAACGAATCGATTACTCAAATTGCTGCTGGTGCATATCATTCAATGGCACTATCAAGATCAAATCATATCTACTGCTGGGGTCTAAATGATTACTATCAAGTTGGTGAAGAAATAGAATCAATGGGTCATCAAAAAATTATATCAACACCCTACCGTATAAGAGCACCGGTTTCAGAGAATTCAAAATTAAAAAGTAAAGAAAGACCTATTTTACAAATTGCAGCTGGTGGAAGATCATCGATGGCTATCAGACGTTTCCTTTTAAACATTGAAATCAGACCAACTAACTATTATGCAGATATTAAAAGAATTTTTGAAAAATCCTCATTTTCAGATCTAATAGTCCAAATAAAAAGAGATGATAACACAACAGTCCAAGAAATTAAGTTCCATAAAATATTTTTGCAAAGATCAAAACCCTTATTAGATTTTCTAAATGAAAACAATGTCCATGTCGATAGCAACACTCGTTCCTCGGTAATCCCCATTCAACAAGCAAAAAGCTTTACAGTCAAAAGCGATATCGAAGATCTTTATGAAAATGATCCATATTTAGAAAACTTTAAAGAAATAGCCACTATAGATACAGATTTATCACAACACTTATTCACAATGGTAAACCAAGAATTATTTTCAGATATTAAAATTAAAGTCGAATACTTTGATCCATCAGAAAACAAAACTTTAAAACCAGTTATATTCAATGCCCACAAATGTATATTAGTAAATAGATCAGAAAAACTCAAAACATTATTAGAATCTTCATATTTCAAAGAATCAATTGACAATATTATTACAATCAATAACTTTACCGCTGAAACTTATGAAGTTTATTTAAAATATTTATATACTGATATTGTATGTATTTTTAAAATATCTAAAATTTTAATATTTTATTAATTTTTTTTTTAAAATAATATTTTAATAGTTAAATATAAATAATGAAAATGCAATCGAACTATTCCAATTAAGCCATCAAGAATCACAGTATAGAATGAAAGATTTAATAGAAGAATATTTGACAAACTCATTAGATCACGAGAATGTTTCATTAATCTTTGAATTGGCATTACAGTTAAACGACAATCAAGTATCTGCAAGTGGTAACAACTCTTTCTTAATTGATAGATGCATTTACTTTATGTCTCAAAATTTAGACAAAGTTCAAAGTTCTGAAACATTTAAATCTTTATCAGAAAACTCAAAACAATTTTTACTGTCAAACTCAATTAATATTCAAGATGATCAAAATATTAAAAGTGATAAAAGTGGTGAAGATAATAATGAAGGAAATGGTTTCAAAAACGATGAAACCAATAAAGGAAAATGTATAATATGTTAAAATAAAATAAAATAAAATAAATGTACCAAAAAAAATTTGTATCATAATAAATTATCAAAAAAAAAATTATTTGATCAAAAAAAACTTTTTTATATTATTTTATATAATATTTATTTTATTTTATTCTGTTTCTGTTTTTTGATTTCATTTATAATACATTTTTCCATTTTCTCAAAGAATCGTTAAATCATGATTTTGTATGATTTTCTTTGCAAAGTTTAAAAGAGTAGACAAACAAAAATAATCATTTTTTTCTTCAATAAATAAAAAAATAATACTAAATTATATCATGAAGAGCTATTCTTAATAAAAAGGAAAACGGTAAAAAATAAACATATTATTTATAAAAAAAAATTTTATTATATTTTATTTATAATAAAATTTTTATTATATTTTATTTGAAAATTTAATTATTAGGATATTGAAAATAGTAAAATCATTTGATGTTCCAATATATTTGCCTGGCCAGGGAAAATGTATTTCTTCCATCAAATAGATTGAACTATTATACCCTATTATTATTATTATTCTTTTTTTTTTTTTTTTTTTTTTTTTTTATAAAATTATTAATTATTATTGATTTACTAAAATTTCTTTTCTAAAGCTTTAAGGTTGATGATGCTGCTGCTGATGAATGCTGATGCTGATGATGAGGACCAAGATGAATGCTGATGCTGATGATGAAGCTGGTGATGATGAGGACCAAAATGAATGCTGATGATAATGCTGAGGACCAAGATGAATGCCGGTGAGGATGCTGATGATGCTGATGACCAAGATGAATGTTGATGGTGATAATGCTTAGGACCAAGACGAATGCCGGTGAGGATGCTGATGATGATGACCAAGGTGAATGTTGATGGTGATAATGCTTAGTACCAAGATGAATGCCGGTGAGGATGCTGATGATGATAATGCTGAGGACCAAGACGAATGCCGGTGAGGATGCTGATGATGATGATGATGAGGACCAAAATGAATACTAATGAAGATGAGGACCAAGATGAATGCTGACGATGAATGCTGCTGATTGCTGCTGATGAATGCTGCTAATGATGATAATACTGAGGACCAAAACGAATGCCGGTGAGGATGCTGATGAGGATGAGGACCAAGATGAATGCCGGTGAGGATTCTGATGAGGATGAGGACCAAGATGAATGAGGACCAAAATGAATGCTGATGGTGATAATGCTTAGGACCAAGACGAATGCCGGTGAGGATGCAGATGATGATAATGCTGAGGACCAAGACGAATGCCGGTGAGGATGCTGATGATGATGATGATGAGGACCAAGATGAATGCCGGTGAGGATGCTCATGATGATGATGATGAGGACCAACATGAATGCTAATGATGATGAGGACCAAGATGAATGCTGACGATGAATGCTGCTGATGAATGCTGCTAATGATGATAATGCTGAGGACCAAAAAGAATGCCGGTGAGGATGCTGATGAGGATGATGATGAGGTCCAAGATGAATGCCGGTGAGGATGCTGATGATGATGAGGACCAAGATGAATGAGGACCAAAATGAATGCTGATGGTGATAATGCTTAAGACCAAGACGAATGCCGGTGAGGATGCTCATTATGATGATAATGAGGACCAAGATGAATGCTAATAATGATGAGGACCAAGATGAATGCTGAGGATGATAACCCTGACCAAGACGAATGCCGGTGAGGATGCTCATGATGATGATAATGCTGAGGACCAAAACGAATGAATGCTAGGGAATAAAAAAAAAAAATAATTAGTATTTATTTTTATAACATATTATATATATATATAATTACCTGTTTGTTTGTTCGCTTGGGCTATTAGAAAAAATAAAATAAATGTATATTGATAAAACGAAAATGAAAATGAAAATGAAAAAAAAAAATTTTCCCCCACACACCACAAAAAAAAAAAAAATTTTAATAAAAAAAAAAAAAAAAAATAATTTAATTTAAAAAAATGAAATTTAATTAAAAAAAAATTGAATTTTACCACACACACACAAATTTCTACAAAGGAATTGCGAACATCATTATTAAAAATTATAATAATAACTTTTAACAAATATATCCATTTAGATTTTATAATTAAATTTAATCTAAAAGTCCACTTTAAGGAAAGTATAATAACTATATTTTTTATTTTAATATTCATTCCTTAAGAAACTATCATTGTTCAATTTAATTATTCAATTTATATTTTTTAATTAATTATAAAAAATAAATTAATCAAAAATTAAATAAAAAATAAATAAAAAAGAATCTTAGAGTAAACAATATATTTTTATAAAACAATAATAAACCAAAAAGAATAGAAAATAGAACTATTTAGTGATTTAAAAACCATTGTTAAAAATATATATAAATTAGAACATATGAAGAAGTAGAACTTTTCAATAAACCTCAATACATAATCAAAAGGAACAATCAAAGTAATTATTTAGATATGGAAATAAGAGATAATAAAATGGATTAATCTTTCTTTATAAATAAAAAATAAACAAATACACTAGTGTACATTTATATTTTTAACTAACTCTTTAATCATTTATATTTTTTTGTTTTTTTTTTTTTTTTTTTTTTTTTTTTTTTTTTTTTTTAGTTTTATCAAAAATATTTTTTTTTGTTATTTTTTATAGATAAAATTTTTACATTTCTCTTTTAGAAAATACTTTTTTAGAAAATGGATACTTTATAAATATCATTGCCCTACAACCCCCAATTAATTTTATTTTCATTATAAAAATAATAATTTCAATTCGTTTATATTTTAATAATAATAACTTTAATTCATTTATAAATCATTTTTATATTTTAATAATAATAACGTCAATTCATTTATATTTTATAAAAATAATAATTTCAATGAATTCATTTAAAAAAAACTTTTGTAATGAACAAGGATCATTACTTAATAATAATCAATAACAATTAATTATTTTAATTTATCAAAAGAATTTTTAAAAAAATAAAAAAATAAAAAATATAAGTTTATTTCATATAGTGTTTGATCCAAATTAAAATTTTAATTTTTCTATTTTTATTTTCATAATTTTTTTCTTCAAATTAAGAAATTTGGGTAAGATATGTTCAAAATAAGAAAAAAAAAATTTATTTAAAAAAAAAAAAAAATAAAAAAAAAAAAAACCGAAAATAAATTATTTTTTTTTTATTTTTTTCATTTCTTTTTATTTTATTTTTTAAATTGTTAAATAAAGAAGAAATTAATTTTATTTATATTTTATTTAACAAAAAGAAAAATATTTAGTTATTTATATAATAGTACTAAAATGTCAACATCAGCTAGTGAAGATTTACCATCATGTGGTGTAAATGATAATGATATCAATAATACAGTACCAGTATCAACAAGAAAAATTCAAATTCAAACAAGCGATAGCACCAAATGTATCAAATGTCTTTACAATATAACCAACAATATTAAAGATAAAAAAAAAGATAAAAAAGAAAAAAAGAAACAACAAGAACTAGAGCAAGAACAACAAGAGAATGATGAAACCTCAAAAAAAGAACCAACAATCGGCAAACCAATAATTTATTTTAGATCTGAACAATTATGTTGGGAATGCTATAAAGATTTAATTTTAAAAAAGTTTAAATTGAATATTGTTAAAGTTAGAGAAAATAAAAGAGAAGCCGAAAAATTGTTAGTAGCATTATCAGGTGGCACATGTTCAGCAGTATTATTGGATTTATTAAAGCAATGCACAGATGGCACTGGTAAAGCTAAAATGTTTTTAGATATTCAATGTGTTCACATTGACGAGTCCTCATTAACACCATACCTTTATCACGATGATTCCATTCAATACATGAAAGATTTATGCGGCAAATTTGGTTTTCCACTCACAGTTGTACCAATTCAAGATATTTTAGGTCAAGAAAAAACCCTTGATCAAAGAACTAATGAAATTAAAGAATCTTTCCAATCTTTGGGATCTGAAACTTCAAAAGAAGATTTATTGGCTTATTACCGTAACCAACTCTTAATAGAAACTGCTCACAAAAAAGATTTTAAAAAAATTATTCTTGGTACAAGTTCAAATAGATTAGCTGTACAATTAGTAGCCTCAACTTCAAAAGGTAGAGGTTTTTCTGTACCAAATGAAACCTCTGTAATTATTGAACAACCATCAAGTAAGTGCATGCCAAAATAATAATAGTTTTAATAGATACAATAATGTTGTTAACACTTTTTTCTTATCATTTTATAACTATAGATAATATTAAATTTTATCAACCAATGAGAGATTTCTTATTAAAAGAAATTTTTATTTATTATAGACATTCAAAAAATCAAGAAATTCCTCCAATGTTTTCAATTAAAAATCTTAAACCAAAACATTCAATTAATACACTTTGCGAAGACTTTTTACATACACTTCAAGATGTTTCAAATCAAACAGTTCACACATTACTTAGATCAGTTGATAAATTAATCTCACCATCAATAGATTCAAATTATAATTGTTCAATATGCACTAGTCCATTAACAAAAGATGAAATTAAATCTTTAGAATCAGTAAATAATAATAGTAATAGTAATAATAGTAATGATAGTTGTTGTAATAGTAATAATAATAATAATAATAATACAGGATGTTGCTCAACTAATACCAACACAGATAATAACAATACAGGATGTTGCTCAACTGCTCAAGAACCACAACAATTTAATAAAGAAACTCTTTGTTATAGTTGTAAAATTCTTTATAGAGATTTCAAAATTATAGATAAATCAAATATTGCACCATATATTAAAGTGAATTCAAAACAACTATTAACAACCACACAACTCGAAGATAAAATTAAAGATTTCTTATTAAAAGATTCAGACGATGAAAACTAAATAAATAAATAACTTTTACATATATTTAAACAAAATTTTTTTTATTATATCATTTTATTTCTTTTTTGTTTGTTTTTTTAATTCGGTTTCCCATTCAACAGACCAATCTGATAATAAATCGTTAATTAGTTCACCTTGTGGAGTTTTAAATATATAGTTTTTAGTTGAGTCACTCTTGGAGGAATTGGGGTTGTGGAATTTAATTGTAAATGAATTGGAGGAGCTGTCCCATGCAACGATATCTCTGTAACTGTATGATACCATTTTCATAACTTTTGGATCGATAATATGAAAACCATTACCATTGATACCAATTGAAACTTTACCTTCAAATTCTTGGGTAAAGAAGGAGGTGTTGGATGGGATATACTTTGCTTTAAAGAAAGTGGAGCCATAATAAAGCCATCTTTGGCAGGTTTCCAAATAAGATTTTTTCAATTGCAAACTTTCAGAACCTCTTAATAATGCATGTTGTGGAATAATTAATTGTTCCCATTCCTCTGGTTTTCTTTTTGATAGCATATGGGATGGAATATAACGGCTAATAGACTCTCTAAGGTGGTCTTGATGCTCTAGTTTTTGATCACCAACCAAAACTTGTAATTGGATAGATGCTAATTTTAATGCTACATCTTCTTCGCATGGATAATTACTGTGAATTACATTATGAATTGCTTGAATATAAAATAAATGAACGGCTTCTGGTTTATTAATTGATCTCTCTGCTTCCAATGGTAATACACTAGTGGGTCTATATACCAATCTAAAATGACCCTCCTCTCCTAATGTTGGGAATGATGATCTTAATTTGCTTGCATGTTCACTTGCTATAGTAGTTGAAATGGCTGATGATGAATTATTTGATGATGCACCACTGATTTTATTTTTTTTACCCAATGTTAAAAACCCTTTAATTGTGCCTGTACTGTAACCTGGTGATGATGGTGATGATGGAGGTGGTATGCCACCACTATTATTTAAACCACTGCTGCTGATATTTGGTGATGATGGTGTTTTACCTCTAATCGATGAAAATCCACTTAAAATTGGTGATGTTGGTTCATCTTTATTGCAATACCTTTTTTCTAAAACTCCCCAGTTTTTAATAATTTCCGATATATTTTGATGATTAAATAATAACCATTCTAAAAAAAAAAAAAAAAAAGATTATTAAAAATTAATATTATAAAAACAATAAAACATATAGATTTAATTAATTATTAATTTATAATTACCAATTTCATCATTTTGTGCCCAAATAAAAAAACATTCTGAATCTTTATTATTAATACCTATTTTTTCAGATACCATTTCCCATAATTGATCACCTGTTGTGTTATTTGGGTCAATTGATAAGGTTTTATGTGTATCATCAATAAAATAAATACGAATTAAAACTTGATTAGATTTTAATAAGCTACTACTATTACTATTATTAGTATTAGTATTATTATTATTAGTAGTGGTGGTATTATTATCTGTAGTTGATGAGGAGGATGGTGATGCTGTTAATTCTGACATTTTTTTTTTTACTAATACAACTATATAAAAATTAAATTCTCTCTCTTTTTTTTTTTTAGATTGGTAATAATATAATTTTAAATATACAAGGTAAATTTATTTTTAACTTTATGTGATATATCTCTAGTTGTAAATAAAATAATATTTAAAAAAAATTAAATTTTTTTTTTTTTTTTTTTTAATGATCTGTTTTTAACACACACAAAAAAAGTAAAAATACAAATTGGTATTATTTAATAGAATACAAAATACAAAAATACAAATGAAATGTTTAAAAATAAAAAACAATGAAAAAATAAAAATAACGCATTAATAATAAATAAAAATATCATGAGAAAAAAAAAAAAAAAATTAATATAAAAAATAAAAAAAAAATAAAAAAAATTTTTAAAAAATTAATTTTTTTTTTTTATGTAATAATCTAGATTCAACAATCTCGATTTTTATTAATAGCCAATAATAATTTAATTTAATATATCTTTTTTTTAAATTAAAATTATTTTTTGTAGTGCTTATTTAAAATGTTAATGACTATAAATAAAGAAAAAATAAAAAAAAAAAAAAAAAATAAAAATAAAAAAAAAAAAATAGTTTTGCACCAATGAAAAATTATTATTTTATTTAAATTATTTGATTCGCCTTAGAGTGACAAATCATCCTTACTGTTTATAAACCAACTTGGAGATTTTGAAACAACTAAAAAGTCAGAGGTTTCTAAAGCATCTTTGCCTTCTTTTTCGATAATGGATTCGACATTAAATCCACATAGTTCATAAAAAGTTTTATTTTCGATAATCTATATTAATTAAAAAAATAATGGTATTAATAAAACTGAAAACTTTTAAAATAATTTTAAAAATAATTAAAACTTACATTTGAATTCCAATGTACAATATTATTGTTATTGTTAATTTCTTTAATATTTAATGGTTGGTTATAAAAAGTTAAAAATGTTGAGGATGGTTTCAAAAGTTTTGAAATTTTATTAAACTTATTAATGTTTGAAAATGATATATCAGAGTTATTATTACTATTATTATTACTATTATTATTGTTGTTATTATTTTGATCAACAGAGTCTAATAAAATGATTGCATCAAATTTGAATTTTTCTTTACTTTCATTGTAATGCTCAATTTCTGAATACTCAATTGTAAATACATTGATAGCTTTGTTATTAAAATTTTTAGAGTCATAATGATTATAAACTAATCTTGCTAAATCTTTGATTAATTGACTGTTGTTATACTTTTCATTGAATGTAATTATTATATTGATTTCGTTACTATTATCTTGGTTATTATTGTTTAAATGTTTTTTAATTGAGTTTATGTAAAAGTTGTTTTTTGATTGATGTAATCTTTTATTAATGTAATCATAACCAAAGTATAATACGATTGGTGTGAGTAACATTGTATAGTTATTGAATATTAAGTTTTTATTATAATACATTTCTTTTTATTATTTTATTGTTATTGTTATTATTCCTGTTATAACTGTAATTAATTTTATGTGTCTTTTCAAGAATGCAAAAAAATTTTAAAAAAATCTATTTTTTTTTTTTTTTTTTAAATTTTAAAAAAAAAATTTTTTATTTTTTTGGGGTTGTTTTAAAAAAATATATATTTTTGTTTTTATTGGAATAAGATAATAAATTGTGTGCCCTTTATTAAAGTTATATATTTTCGTTAATATAATAATTAAAAAAAACGATAATGAAGCTAAAAATAAAAAATAAAAATAAATAAAAATAAATATATTTAATTAAATTAAATAAAAATAATTGGAATAAAAAACTAAACAAATAAGAAATTATAAATGTGTTTTTTGTGGTCAAATCAGATTTTTTTTTTTTTTTTTATAAAAAAATTCGTTTGTTTTAAATATTTTTATATTTTTTTTTAAAATTTTTTTTTAGTTCAAAAAAAAAGCAAATAATAAACAACCCTTTTATTTATTTTTTCATTGTTTAATAAATAAAGATAAAAAAAAAAAAAACAAAAAAAAAAAACAAAAAAAAAACAAAAAAAAAAAAAAAAAAATTTTATAATAATAATAATGATAAATAATAAATCTATTATTGTTTTATTTTATTTTATTTTATTTTTAACAATATGCCAATCACAATTATCAGCTTCAGAATATGGATGTTTACAAACTTTTCTTAATTATATTGGCCAAAGCAGTTTAATACCCTTTATTTTCCCCGAAAGCGAAATATGCAATGTTAATGGAATTGTTTGTCAAGATAACAGTGTTATAGAATTAAATTTAAATCAGATCTCAACTTCCACAGTCGACAGTTCATTATTACAATGTTTTTCGAAATTAAATAAAATGTTTGTTTCTAAATATTAAGATTATTTTACTTTAATACGATCAAATCAATACTAATTTTTTATTTTTTTTTAACTTAATTTTAATATTTTTAATAAATTTTTACCAGTAATTTTCAATATTTTACAGTTTCAAACTCATTTTTAGTTACTAATGATTACAAAGACACTAATACTTCAGTTACCCTATTTCATCCAAATCAGCTTACAATTAGTGGTTATGTAAATCAAAATATTAAAGAGTTAGTAATTACTACCACTCAATACTATGACACAACATTTTCATTAGATTATTTTAAAGATATTTTATATTTGTAAGTTAGAATGAACATAAAAATAATTATAATATATTATTTAAATAGTTTCTAATTTTTTTTTTTCTGTTCTTAGAACTCTTATCGATGAATATATTGATATTGCTACAAATGAAAAAAGTGTACAAAGAATTACTTATACAGATCCTACAATTTTCACATCAACACCAAGATCAATGTATGTATTTTAAAAATAAAAAAATTTAAATTATTTTTATATATTAATTTTTTCATTTATAAACAGTGAAATGTTTTCAAAAAATTTACCATCTATTGTAGGATTTACAAATGTACTTTTAATGAAGGTTATTTTACAAAAGGATTTTTTATTTGATACCTATGAATCATATATTAATGTAGATTCAATGTGTGTATATTCAGATATAATTTTATTATTATTTTTTAGATCTTCACTAATTCTATTTATCTTTTTTTAATAGCGATATCTCAACAATTTATTTCGATACAGTCGTAAACTCGAATATTATTCAACGATTAAGGCCATCTTTGGTAAGAGATCTTAAATTAAAATTAGGAATGTCAACAAATAATGGTTTAAATAAAATAAATTTAGCAATTAATTACCCAAATTTAAAAGCAATATCAATCGAAACAAACCCCACATTTTCACACAACGAGTTTCAATTTTCTTCAATACCTTCAAATCTTCAACAATTTATATTAAAAGGTTCGGTTTTTTCAGGGTTGGATATTGCTCTTGGACTTTTAAGAAATGTTCCATTTATCGATCTTAGTAATAATAATATTAGAGCTATATTACCAATAAACAATTTAAACTCATTTCCAAATAGTGAGCTAAATATTTCAAATAACCAAATATCAGGGGTATTAGATGAGTCCTATTGTAAAATTGCAAATTTAGACGTTTCAAATAATTTATTAACTGGGTAAGTGGTTTTTATTTTATATTTTATATTTTATATTTTATATTTTATATTTTATATTTTATATTTTATATTTTATATAAAAAAAGAACGAATATTTATATTTTAAAATTTATAGCCCAATTCCAAAATGTTTTACATGCTATATGAAAAATCATTTTGAGTCGAGATTTTCTGGTAATCAATTCGATAATTATTTTGAAATGAATAATGATTGCGCATACATTCAAGCAAGTTTAAGAATAGATGGGGACAAGGTATATTTAGAAGGTTCAAATTTAGGTTTTGATCCAAATACTATTAAAGCAACACCACCTTTAACTTTTGAAATGGAAATTCCATCAACTCGTTTTGTTGCAGACTTTAGCAAATATTTAGGTATTCAAACCGAGTTTTTAATTTCATTTACTTTAATAAACAAGAATTTTAAATTTAATTCACCCCCAAAGCAACCAAAAGTCGATTTTATCAATACAACCCCAGATGGAATTACTTCAATTTATGGCAGTGATTTCCCAAATGATAAAAGTAAAGCAATTGTAACAATAGGAGGTAATAGCTGTGAAGTTTCAATTTCAACATTTGGTTTTATAGAGTGTCAAATGCTAAATATTAGAGCTCTTACTTTTGGAATGCTCTCTTATATTACAATTTCAGATCCAATTTACGAATTAAAAACTCAGTTTTATATCAACTATGATTCATTAACCCTATTAACAACTAATGTATATTATTGTAACAATGGAGAAGGGTGTAATGGTTACATTTGTGATACATTGTCTCAACAGCCTACATGTGACTGCCCAGGGAAACAAAGTAACTGTATGCCATATACCTGTCCAAATAATTGTAGTGATCATGGCTCTTGTGATGAAAGTACTGGATCTTGTACCTGTGAAAAAAACTATACCTCAGAAAATGACTGTTCAATATTTAGTATGGAGTGTCCTGGCAATGGTTGCAGTGGCCATGGTACTTGTGATCACAATACTGGATTATGTACCTGCGACCTAAACTATACCTCAGAAAATGACTGCTCAGTATTTAGTATGGATTGTCCAGGTAATGGTTGCAGTGGTCATGGTACCTGTGATCACAACAATGGCGAATGTACATGTGATGAAAATTATACTTCAACAAAAGACTGTTCTGTATTTAGTATGGATTGTCCAGGTAATGGTTGCAGTGGTCATGGCACTTGTGATCACAGTACTGGCGTATGTAGATGCGACCTAAACTATACTTCAGAAAAAGATTGTTCAGTATTGTATATGGAGTGTCCAGGAAATGGTTGTAGTGGCCATGGTATATGTAATCACAATACTGGCGAGTGTGTATGCGATATAAATTATACTTCAGAAAAAGATTGCTCTGTATTATACATAGAATGCCCAGATAAAACTTGCTCATCACATGGAACATGTAACACTTTAAAAGGTGAATGTGATTGTAATGAAGGTTTCCAAGGTTCAGATTGCTCAGAAATAGTAATAAAGAATTGTCCACTTTATAATGGCCATATATGTGCAGGTTTTGGCTTTTGTGAAGATGGTATGTAAATTTTATTTAAATGGTATTTTAAATGATAATATTATATTAAATTATTTTTTATTTATTCATTTTTTAATAGGTTTTTGTAAATGTGATAATTCTCATCAAGGAGATGATTGTAGTGTCGTCTATGTTGAATGTCCAAAGAATAATGGTCAAATTTGTAGTGGTGGTTTAAATAAATGTAATAATATAACTGGTAGGTAGAGATTTGTTTTTTTTCGAAAAATATTGATAACTGATTCATTTTATATCTTTTTTTAAAATAAAACAAGGTGTTTGTACATGTGAACCTAATAAATCTGGGTACGATTGCTCGGTTGATGATTCAATTTATTGTAAAGATCCAACATGCAATAACAATGGAATATGTGATAAATCTAAAGGAAAATGTAATTGTAATGATGGTTATAGTGGTGATTCATGTGAAACTCCAATTTGTTCATCCAGTTGTTCAAACCATGGATCATGTATTTCACCAGAAAAATGCCAATGTTTAGATGGATGGGGCGGAGATGATTGTTCAGTTGTTAATATAGATTGTAAAGATCCAACATGCAGCAACCATGGTGTTTGTGATAGATCAAAAGGTATTTGTAGTTGTAATAATGGTTTTGGTGGCGAATCTTGTGAAACTCCAATATGCTCTACTGGATGCTCAAATCATGGATCATGTATTTCACCAGGAAAATGCAAATGTTTAGATGGATGGATTGGAGATGATTGTTCAATTGCCCATATAGAATGTTCCCCAGTATGTGGCGTTAATGGCAAATGTGATAACACAAAAGGTACCTGTGATTGTAATAATGGTTATAGTGGTGAGTCATGTGATCTTCCAATATGTTCCACAAATTGCTCTAACCAAGGTTCCTGTGTTGCACCAGAAAAATGCCAATGTATTTCAGATTTTGTCGGTATCGATTGCTCAATTTCAGCTAAAAAAACTCATTTTATAAGCTCAATAGAACCATGTTCAATTTTGGGTGGTGAAGTTACTATTTATGGATGGTTTGGAACAGTTCATGAAAAATTAACCGTTCAAATAGGCGATATGTTTTGTGAAGATCTAGTTGCAACTGAAACTACTATAAAGTGTACACTAATGGGTGGTATGGGTACTAAAGATGTAATTATTACACAGAATTATGTTAGTTCATTTGGTAAATTTCAATATTTTAATCCAATCCAAAGTTGCCCAAACAACTGCACTAGTCCAGAAAATGGTCAATGTGATACTACAACAGGTCAATGCTCTTGCTCTATTAAAAATGATGGGTTTGATTGTTCCTTGGAAAAAGTTTCAACTGAAAAAGATTATCCAGCTTCAATTACAAAAATTAATCTAGAAACAGGTTCAGCTTCCATTAGCAACCAAGACACAAATTACGAAGTTTCAATTATATCATTAATCGAGTTTGATATAAATAGTAATATAGTTTCAACCAATTATTTTAAAAAACACTGGGATAGTTCAATAGATGAAGAAAAAGCTATATATCAATTCTCACAAAAACTCGACAACAATAATGGTATTATAACATATATAGTTGAAGAAGTAAAACAAAATAAAGTATATGAATTTGCAGGTATGAAGTTATCACTTGAAGAAGGCGGAATAAAGGTTTCAGTTAATATTTCAAACTATGAATACCAAAGTTCTCTAAATACATTACAATTAAGATTTTTATCAGCTTCTGGAGAAAACTCAAATACCACACTTTCAAATAAATGTAATCAAAATCCCTCAAAATCAGATACCTCGAATGTTGACCCAAATCAAGCATTAAACTACATTAGTATTACAAAGGTATGTATTATTATTTTGGTTTAATTATTTAAATCATTTAGGTTTTTATTAACGAATCCAATTTTAAAACAAATAGAACTCGAAGCAGTTTAGCGGTAGATTTATTAATAAAGTAATTTCGGATGGTAGATCAACATTTATGACAAGTGAAATTATTAAAGATTTAACCAACTCTTCAACTGTAACAGTAGGACTTAACTTGCCCCATTGTAACCAATTTTGTTTTATTGACCCAGATTTTTCTGTTCTAGTATCATCCAACTTTAATCCAAATTGTGAAGGTGTTTCAAAGAATAATTGGGTTATACCTGTTGCTGTAGTGGTTCCAGTCGTATCACTTTCAATTTTAGTTTTGGCAAGTGTTTTAGTCTATAGAAAGCATAGATATGCAATTCGTTTATTCTTTTTAAAAAGATCCACGAACAGTTCATTTAAACTAAAGGAAAAAAGAAATAAATACCATTATTAATATACAATTAATGTAAAAATATAATATAACTTCTTTTTTAAATTTAATATTTTAAAAAAAGCTCACAAATTAATTTCGGATATATTAATGTATTCACTCATTTATATTAAATAATAATATATAGTTTAATCAAATATTTAACAATGGTATTTTTTTTTTTTATTTTTTTATTTTTTTATTTTTTTTTTTAAAACAAATTCTTTTTACAGAAAATGAAAATGTAATTCGTATATCAGAGAAATTAATTAAATAATATTTTATTAAAATACTCAATTTATATATAATATAGGTAAAATAAAAGAAAACTCTATGAATAGTATTAAAAAATTCAAATTAAACAGTATAGTATTGTTTTTTTATTTTTTTTAATTTTTTTTTATATTTTTTATTTTTTATCAAATAATAATAATTTTCATTTTGTTATATTTTCTTTTTTTTTTTTTTTTTTATTTTTTCATAAATTATTTTCCTTTGTTATATAATATTTTTAATATTTTTTTTTTTTTCAATAAAAAATTAAAGCTTATAAATTTTCGTCAATCATTATAGTTTTTTTTATTATTTATTTATTTATTTATTTTTATTTGTATACAATAATAAAAAATGTTTAGTTTAGATAATTTAGATTATTTAAATATTGTTTTATTTATTTTTGTTTTTTCTTTATTTAATTTCCTTGTTACTGCAATCATCATCAAGTATTATCCTCCACAACATCAACAAAACAAAAATGTAGAAATGTTCACTAAAGAAGATGTTGATCGTCTTTTAGAAAATCAAAAGAATCAAATTCTCATGAAAGTAAGTTTCATTTAACATAAACTATATTTTTTAATTTATTAATATTTATTTATTAAAAATATTTAGTTTTCCGAAGAAAAGGCGATTTTATCAAAGGAAAATGCGGTAATTCAATTAAAATTGGAAAAAAAGGAAAAAAAATCTTTAAAATCAAAAAGATTGCTATCTGTTTATGAAAGTGAAATGAAGGAGATATTAGGTCAACCTTTATCACCCACAGATAAAGAAAAATTAAAAAATGCATTAAATGAAAATGAATCATTAAAAAAGGTAAATATTTAATTTGAATTAATAATAGATAAATCAATATCAATATTAATTATTAATGATCAACAATTGTTTATTAATATTTAATATTTTAAATCAAAAATTCATTTTTACTAATATCTTTTTTTAATTTTAATTTTATTCTTTTAATTTAGAAAAATATTGAGCTTGAAGAAACAAACTCGAAACTTAGTAATGAAATCCAAGTTCAAGTTCATAATTTTAATGCCCTTAAATTACGTGCCGAGTCAAGGTTAGAGGATGCATCAGAGCAATTATCCCAAATAAAAAAAGTTGCAAAAAGAAAAATTTTAGCACTAAAGTTAAAATTAAAAGAATAAGAATCAAAATTAGCTTTGAAATCAAAACAATAAGATGATATGGCCAAATCATCTGTTGAATTTTTTTCAAAAGCTTCAATTTGCAACAGTAAAGGGTCAGAAACTTTCTCGCCAACTCTTCAATTATAACTTCAAATATTTCAATACCATAGGCACAAGAGGTCAATACGGATTCATCAGAATTTATGCAAAGATTAAAGAAAATACATTACCAATTCTACACCATATTTATATATCTAAACTTATCATCAAATCATCACTAAATAATAGAAGTTTACCTTTTTTAACAATTATTGAACCATGCAGGTAAAAAGCCACCACTTAGATTCACTGACAAAGCATATCCAAGAGTAGATAAACCAATCAATATTTTAATAACTAAATTATTTATAAATTTAATTAAATAATCATTTAATAAATAAATTTTAATAATTAATAGTTTTAATAATTAAATTAAATAAAGAAAATAAATTATTTCATATTTTTTTTTTTTTTTTATAATTTAATTATAATTTTTATTTTCTTTTTTTTTTTTTAATTTTAATCTTTTTATCATATATTTTTTCTTTGTTTTATAATACATTTAATTTAGATTTGTTGTTTTTTTAAATTATTTATATTATTTTTTTTTAACTTTAAAACTTGTTGCAGATAATTCATCGAAATCAATTTCTTTTTCTGAACCTTTGCAGTTTGGAGCATTTTTTACACACTTTGCAGCATTTGTTACTTTATGTTGTGATATCAGATTAACAAGCGGAACCAAGTTGAGGGGTAGCGGCAGTGACAGCTTTATAGGTTACAATAAACCTGTTCAGTCCCACCGACAATTTCTTGAATTGACGAAACTTTAGCAGCAGAGATCAAACCTTCAGCCCATGTTGGATCTTTTCTCTAATTTAGGATATATTCTATAATACTTAAATAAAAATTATTTTGTTTATTTATATTATTGAAAATAATTTTAAATATTTACCTTTAATTTGAGAAAAACACTATGTTAAAAATAAAAAAGATATGATGGTATAAGTTGACTAATAGAATTTTTTTCTTTAAAAATATTGGAAACTAAATACAACATAGTAAGTTTTAGTTTTAAAGACTACCTCTACTGAAGGATAAAATATAATGAATAAAGTGATAAATAAAAAAATTAATAAAAAATAAAAAATATTTTTATAAACAAAAAATTAAATTTTTTAAAATAATTTTAAATTAATTTATGTTTAATAAAATAATTATAATTTTAAATTGATTTAATGAATTAATTAATTAATCTTTTTTTTTTTTTCAAATCTTTTTTTAAATGTAAAAGTTTACCTATGTATTTTGGATATCAATAGAGAATTTAATTAAATTTTTAAGTCGAACAAATAGATTTAATTAATATTATCAATTTTAAAATTTTATGAAAAAGATAAGGTTGAAACTATTCTATAGAATGAAATTCATTAGTTATAAATTATAATATTTATTATAAAATAGACAATTGTTTTTTTGTTTTTTTTTATTTTTTTTTAATTGTTTTATTAATTTTTTTTTTTTTTTTTTAATTTTAAAAAATAGACTATTAAATTTTTTTTTTTTTTTATTCATTAAAAATTATTGCTTTCACACCACACATATAATTTTTCATCCATCAGCTTCATATTTTTTTACAATCGCTTTCATTTAAAATTATATATTGTTTTTTATATCTTTATATTTCTTTTTATTTGTATATAATTTATTTTATATTTTTATATAATTTATAAATAATTGTTTATTTTTGTAAAAAAAAATGGATGATTTTTTATTTTTGTATATTTTTTTATTTTTAGTTTGTGCCATTGGTTTTTATTCAACTTTTCGTTTTGGTAAATTATTTACCAAAAAAAGCATCACCCAAGTAGAGAGTTGGGAAAAAGACGACCACCAACTCGAAGACTCTGATCAATTGGATGATTTGGTAAATTCATTTGGAAGTCTAAGTGTTCTAACAAGTGAAGAAGAAATGGAAAATAAACAACTTATGGAACAATATTCAAATCTTCTACAACACTTCGATAATACCCTAGATGAATGTAGTAATAAACTAGATCAACAATTAGAGTCTTTAAAAAAAAATAATTTTGGTTGATATACCGTTATATCTCCTATAGACACGGGTGCATTGAAATACTTTTAAAAGCCTTTAAATATAAGTAAGTAAATAAAAACATTATCAAAAACATCAAATCTATTTAGAAATGGGATTCGTTGAATAAAAAAGGAAAATATATGAATTACTAACACAAATAAATTTCTGTTTTAGAATCCGAATCATGTATTTCTGTTTTAGAACCCGAATCATGTATTTCTGTTTTACAATCCGAATCATGTATTTCTGTTTATTAGGAAGAACACAAAAGAAGAAAATGATAGCTAAAACTCATTCATCTTTTTAAAGAAATAATAAAATTAAAGCTTTATATTTTTTATTTATTTTTATTTTGTTTTCTTCTGAAATATTATTTGGTTGTGTATTATTTTCATATTCTGCCTACATTACTGATGGATTTTAACCATTACTAATGCTTTGACTACTTCATTATATTTTTTTATTTGATTTATAATTTCATTTCTTATTTTTTCTATTTCTTTTGTATAATTTTCTATTATCTTTTCTATATCTATTTAAATTTCATTCCTTGTTCTTTCAAAAAATCCACATCAGCATTTTTAGGTATTTCCTGCTTTTCTTTAAATTTCTCTTTCAATTGATTTAATTTCGGTAATATTGTCGTCTTGACTGACCAGTTAAAAACTCATTCTCTAAAGTTTTAATGGCCTCATCTCTATCTTTTTAATTTTATTACTCTTAGCATTATAACAACAACCTTTTTGAATCACTACTTGTCCTCTTGAATTTACTTTGATTTTTCAAACAGTTGCTATTATAAATGATGTGCTGATATTTAAACAATTTTCAATCTTCCCAACACTTTGATGTTGATGAATATTTATTTATATATCAATATCAAAATTTATTAAAATATATAAAAATATAAAAAATAAATAACATTTATATTTTTTATCTATTACATTATTTCTTATAAAGTAAAAAGAGTTTATGTTTTTTTTTTTTAATTTTAAAATAAACAAATCAAGTAATGTACATTTTTCAAAAGCCCCAACTAGTAACAGTAGTCAATCATCTAAGGATTCAAGATATTCTAACTCCGATGATAACTCAATAAGTAATGGGTCAAAAATTGCAGAACGTCCAGAGCAAGAATTAGTAAATACATCAGAAGAAAAGGTTGACCATTGTAAAAAAGTTTTCACCAATGTATTAAATTTATTAATGAAAAAGGATCCACATCAATTATTTTACTCACCAGTTACTGAAGAGATTGCACCCGATTATTTTACCTATATCAAAAAACCAATGGATTTCTCAACAATGATCAAAAAGAATAATGATGGTAAATACATTTCAATCGATCTTTTCACTTACGATTTTACATTGATTTGTGAAAATTGTATGAAGTATAATGATGCAAATTCAGTATATTACAAGGATGCTAGAAAGTTATTAATAGATGGTACAAAAACATTATGTCCTATTTATTTAATAATTTTTATTATTTTATTTGTTAATTTTATTATTCAACTTTGGTGCTTGGACATTGGCTCAAAGAGAATGTGTTGAAAAAGGTAGAACCAGTGATGGTGGTCCAATGTAATAGAAAAAATAAAAATTTTGAAGTATTTATAGAAAAAAAATTACATTAAATTTATTTATTTTTAATTTTAAATAATGCCCTTAATTATATAACTGCTATATTGAATAAAATATATTTAAAAATCCTCTTAACAATATTTATGTATATTAATAAAAAAAAAAAAAAATTTTAAAAAAAAAATAAAAGGGGGAAACAACCACACATTACTATATATATTAATTTATTATGATTTAACTGTTTTTTATTGATTTTTAAACACCTTTTAAATTAAAGACTTTTTTTTTTTGTTTTTAAAACTTAGAAAAATAAAAAAAAACTAAAACTTAGAAATTGACTTTAAAAATGGAACTTATTGACCCCGAACTTAGAAACCCCTTTTTTTCAAAAAATAAACTAAATTTTTTACCCTAGTTATACTGCTATATTATTACTTTGAACGAGATTGTTGGATGGTTGCAAAGGGTATTTATACTGCTGGAATATGGTTTTGAGTGTGATTGTTGATGGTTGTAAGGGGTATTTATATTTCTGGAATATGATTTTGAGTGTGATTGCTGATGGTTGTAAAGGGTGTTTATACTGCTGGAATATGTGATTGTTGATGGTTGTAGAGGGTATTTATACTGCTGGAATACGGTTCTGAATGGATTGTGATTAGCATTAAAGGGAAAAGTGAATCTGGTTTTTGGTTCTGATTAAGTTGGAGATTGTCGTGAACTTTGTTTTCGAATTTTGATCTTAACGTTAGATTAGAAACTTTGAACGTATTGATATTGAGGTATAAAGAATTGGAATTAGGCTAAATAAGAATTAAAGTTAAATATTAGTTTCTTTTATTTTTAAATATATGAATTATTTTAATGTTATTATTATAGTTACCTTTTTGAATTTCTATTAATATTTGGAACTGGAACTTTAATATTATTATAAATTTACTTTGCTTCTTTTTGTAGAGCTGAACAATATGATGATATATTTATTATTAAAATATTGATAATGATTTGACTATTTAGAACTACTTGGACAATTTTTGGATGATGTATATAAATGTAATTGTAATCAATAAATGAAACTAGGAATGAAACGAGTTAATTAATAATAAGGACTTCATCATATTCGTTTTAAAGAAACTTTGAATAAAGTACCAAAATTATTAATTTAATCGCCCTCAATTTCATTATTAATCCATATTTATATAATCATCAAATATTGGTTCGTAAATATTGTGAACAAAACGACGACGCAATAAATGGTGATAAAATTGCTCCCTGTTATCACTGAAATCATCATCGGAATCATTATCATTATCATTTTCATTTTCATTTTCATTTTCAAAATTATCGGAATCATCAAGGAAATTGTAATCTAATTCTTGTTCATGGGCTCTATTTTCAACATCGCCTACTACTATTGGATCATGACCGACTCTCTACAGTTATAAAATGAAAAAAAATTAATATATATTTTTATTAAATATAAATATAAATGTATGAATTTACTTACTTTAATTGTATAGAATCTTGCTCTACATAATGGGCAAGTATTTTTAATTTTATGCCATGTATCCATGCAATCAAAACAGAATTTGTGATTGCAATCAATGGTGGCGATGCTATCAGTCTCCATATCTTCCATGCAAACGTAACATTTATTATCTTCTTGTTGTTGCTTTTTTTTCAAAGCTAATTTAGATTTTGCATCTTTTAATTTTAAATTAAGTTCAAGAATTTGTTTTTTGGCAACTTTTTTTATTTCTTCTAATTGCTCCGATGCATTGGTTAATTTTGACTCGGCATGTACTCTAAGGTCATTAAAATTTTTAATTTGAACTTGGATTTGATTATAAAGCTGTGAGTTTGATTCCTCAAGTTCCAAAGTTTTCTAAATTGAAAATAAAAAAAATTAATCATAAGATATTAGTAAAATGAAATTATGTTGATGTGTAAAAAAATATTTATAATATTAATTATTAATTAACAATATTTAATCATTAATTATTAATAATAATAATTATTTTTAATAAAATATTTACCTTTTTAAATTGTGCGTTTTCTTCCAAAGCTTTTCTTAATTTTATTGAATCTGGTACTGCTAATGGTTGCTTTAGTACCTCTTCCTTTTTGTTTTCAAAATCCAATAGCAAATCTTTTAGTTTTGAAGATTTGATTTGTTTTTTTTTCAATTTTAATTGAAATTCCTCATTTTCTTTTGCTAGAATAGCTTTTTCTTCGGAAATCTAAATATTTTTAAAAAATAAATATTAATAAATTATAAAATATAGTTTTATGTTAAATGAAACTTACCTTTAAATTAATTTCATTTTTATGATTTTCCAAGAGACGATCTACATCCTCTTTAGTAAACATTCCATTATTATTGGTTTGTTGTTGTTGTGGATAGTAATAATGTTTGAGGATGATTGTAGTGATGAGGGAATTAAATACAGAATAAACGAAAATAAAAAAAACAATAACTAAATTATCTAAACTAAACATTTTATTATGATTGCTATTAAAAAAGAAGTGATGGTGATTAAATAAATATATATACAAAAAAATTTAAATAAAATTTATTTACAAACAAAAAATATAAAATTATTAACAAAAAAAAAAAAAAAAAATAATTAAATAAACTATAATAAATTATAATAAATAAAATATGATTGTGGAAATTTAAAAATTAAAGATATACTGAACACAAAAAAAATTGTAGTTTGTAAGTTTTAATTTTTATTGAAATAAAAAAAATTATAATATGAATAAGAAAAAAAAAAAAAATATAACAAAATTATTAAAAAAAAAATTAAAAAAAAAAAATTAAAAAAAATTAAAAAACAATACTATAATGTTTAATTTATAATTTTTATAGGTACACATTTTTCATTACCTTTTTTTCATTTAAATTAAGTATTTTAATTAAATATTTTTATTCTCTCTCTGATATTTGAAATATCTACCACACTTTTGATTGTTAAAAGAATTTTTTTTTTAAAAAAAAAATAAAAAAAAATTAAAAAATTATTTATTTATTTTATTTTTTTAAAAATAATTAAAATTCTTTAAACAGACCGCTTATTAATAAAAATAATTTATATTAGTATTTTACCTATATATATTGATTTATTTGAATGTTTTTTTATTTAATATTTAATAAAAACATCCCAAAAATAATTTAAAACCATAAAAAAAAAGGTGTGGGAAAAAAAAAAAAAAAAAATTTAATATAAATTCATAAATAATCATTTTATTTATTTCTAAAACATAATATAATATATCCAAAGTTATTTCTATTGTGTTATTGTGTATTACACTTTTATTTCTTTTGTCTGTTTTTTTTTTTTCATTAGATTAAATTCATTTTAAAATAAAAGTTATTAAAATTTTAAAAAAATTTTTTTTTTTTTTTTATTTAAAAATTTTATAGTGGTTGAAAATTATCTTTAGCCTTATCCTTTTTTGTATCACTTGGAATATTTAAAAAAAAAGGATAAAAGTGGATTAAAAAAAAAAAAGATAAAAAAAGGATAATTATATTTTTTACAAAAAAAATAATTTTTTAATTAAAATTAAAGCTTACCAAAACTACAAATTCTTTTGTGTTCAGTATATAATTATAAAAAATGTTTAAAATAGATATTTTTATTATTGTTTTTTTTATTTTTGTTTATTCAATATTTAATTACCTCATCACCACCATCCTCAATTGTTATTATTGTCCACAAGATTTCAAAATTAAAATAAATACAATGTTTACTAAAGAGGACGGTCGACCGTCAAAATGAATCTTCAAACTAAAATATTTGCTATAGTATATGATATAATAATGAAAGATCCTAGATCGACATTTATCAATACCAGATTCAAATAAATTAAGAAGTGCTTTAGAAGAAAATGAACAATTAAAAAAAGGTAAATTTTAAAATAGAAATAATAATTTATAAAAAAATATAATTAATGATTAAAAATTGTTAATTAATATTTTATTTTATTAATATTTTTACATATTATCTTAATTTCATTTTACCAATACACCATTTTATTTTATTCATTAATTTAGAAAACTTTTGAACTTTAAGAAACAAACTCACAACTTAATACTGAAATCCAGGTTCAAGTTAAAAAATTTAATGCTCTTAAAGTACGTGGAGAGTCACGATTGGAGAGTGCATCATAGCAATTATTCGAAATAAAAAAAGTTGCAATAAAGAAATTTTAGCATTAAGGTTAAATTAAAAGATTCAGAATCTAAATTAGCTTTGAAATCAAAACAATAAGATGATATGGCCAAATCATCTGAAGTATTTTTTTCAAAAGCTTCAATTTGCAACAGTAAAGAATTATCTAATGAGTCAAGTTTTTCAAACCATTCCAATAATTGATAAGTAATGGGTCAGAAACTTGCTCGACAATTAGTCCAAGCTCTTATTCAGGCTTAAATGGTTTTTCAAGTAGAACCTCAGTTAGCCCACCCCTTTCACCATCAAATGATGAAATTTAAAATTCTTAACAAGTAAAAGATAACGAATCCCTATATTAGAGTAAATAGGGCATCATTTAATCTACATCAAACTCATCAATTTCAACAAATTATTTTTTATCTCAATTAGAACTTCAAATATTTCATTACGATATAGGTACATGAGGTCATTACGGATTCATCAAAATTTATATAAAGATTTAAGAAAAAATTTTAATAATTCTACACCATTTATATATCAAAACCCATCATCAAAACACCACATCCAAAAACAATTAGTAGAAGTTTAAACAATTATTGGACCATGCAGGTAAAAAACCACCACTTAGA